GCAAAGCCAGAAACTCATTCATCTCTGAGCTCAGCTTGTGATAGCTAATTATTTTACTTTTTTTACTTATAAAAAAGCAACCCTAAAGTGTGTCTACCATCTAGAAATGAGCACCACTGACAAAAGCCACACAATCTGCCAGTCGAGGGTGTACTTTAAATTCTTTAACAGGTTATGAAATAGTCTCCACCTGGATGATTTATGTCAATCGATGACATAATGATTGATGTTTGTTGTTGCTGTGGTGACTTGACTTGAGCGTTTGTGTGTGAGGGAACCTGCACCTCCATGACCGTCTGTTTACTGCCAGAGTATCTGGAAATTCAGCTTCCAAACAAACAAGGTGTATTGTAATATTGTCCAAAATGTAAAAAAAAAACAGTAGAGGAAGAGCTGCTTGGCATCATTATTTGTATTCCTGTCTGCTGGCATTTATGGATAGACTGTACAGCCAATACAGTTATAAATGTTGCGAAGACATGAAAAGATATTGACACTTTATGGTATTTGCACTTTCACATCCATGTGCATGTCTAAGGTAATAATCAAGGCTTTTGTCCCTATGAATCATGTGAACCACTCCAAATCCATCAAACTATTCCAGTTCTTTCCATATTGGAAGGAACTATTGAAAAATGCCCGAAATGCCATTTTGGGAGGAGATATATAGATCATAATATATATCTTCAATGGGCTGAGTTCCAGCGGACAGTTTTTACTGTGAATAACCCTTTTCCCTCCATGTTGCAGGGTCATAACCCACAGCTCAATGAAATGAGATGCTAACTGCGGCGGCATCGTGTGCAAAACAGAGGTTACATCCAGTTAGCTTTATACGAGCCCCCTGACAGGCCTTTCCTTCCTCTGTCAACCACAAATCAATATGGAGTTATGGGGAGCTGTAAATGCTGCTGTCTGCCTCTTTTTCACATGGCATGGATCAGCTCATGGCTCCTGTGCGTCCTCAGAGCCTTTTAGCGACAATGACTCTGCTGCCAAGTCCCTTTTAGACTTAATCCGAGTACAATAATCACAGTTTAGATGTTGCTAGCACATCGGCTTCTGGTGTTTTGTATGTGCACTTAGTTTCCTCTTAAACTAAAGAGGAAACTCTTCAAAGATTTTGAATGGATGGACCCATGGCCTTGGCACTGAGTGTGTATTAATGTTTGTTATACACTGGTGTCTCATATGTTTAACAGCTATGCTGGTTTAAATTCAGGTTATGTCTTATGTTGGTCACTGCGTGTTTGTTATTCGTCTTCTGGCAGTAAACAGTCAAACACATCCCACCATCTTCTTTGTGTTTTTCACCTCAGAATGTCTTTTTGGGTAATAAGGATTCACTGTTGTGGGCTTGGTCTTCCTTTGTGGCATTCACAGCGAAATTCTCAGTTGTTCATCTAAAAAGTGGTCTAAAATGTGAATAACAGGGTAAAAGTTAGTGCATGCAGGGCCTGAAAAAATAAATGCAATTTTAATTGATTAATTTACCAGTCAACCGTGTGCAGGTTAAAAATTAACTTCTAAAAAACGCTTGGTAAAACTCTTCCTATCCACAGGTCTCTACAAACCTCTGTCTGATTATTGTACGTTCGTTGTTTCACATCACAGCCCCTTCAGGGCATCCACAGTATGGACGGCGTAATGTCTCAAGGTGTTGAAAGTAATAGTGAGCGATTCAGCCTTTTGTTTCTGCCCGTACACAGGCACTTTTGCCCAGTATCGGAGCCTTTGAGGGGGTCACGGCAGATCAAAGGTGCTGGTCACAGCCATTAGGCCTGGCAGCCCGAACCCGACATGAAAAGCCCGTGTTTTGAAAAGGAGGGCAGAAGGAACGAAACAACAGGGCCCTCTTCGTTTAAAAAGCAAGCAAACTGTGAAATAATTGAAAAGGTATGTCAATCAAGAGCGGGGACCCAGCGGGAGCTCCCAGATTCCCAGGCTCTGCTCGGGTTGTGCACTGAGCCGTGGAGGGTCGCTCAAGGGGGCAACACAAGAAAATTAAAGACCCCCAAAAAAGAACAAAAAGCAGACAGGAGGAAAAGAGCAGAAAAATCTCTCTTTCTCTTTCCCTTTGCTCATCTGTTCCCTTTTCTCGGCTTCATTGTGGATATTTGCCACAGCTTGCAGAGCCTCATTCAGAACACTCGGCCGTTAATAAGATCTTGTCTTGCTCTTGACCTCTCAGGTGAGCAACAAAGGCCCGACGGAGGGGGCAGCCTTTGGAAGCACCTGCCCCCACCATCATGTTACCAGTAGCTTCAGTCTGTATTCTCTCTTCTCCGTCCTCCTTCCCCTAAAGCAGGAATCTGACAAAAGGGACCCAGTGAGACTGCGTTTTTTTTTTTTTTTTCCTAGGTCAGAAAAGGCTTGAATGATCTGACGATGGGCTGGTGTCCAAAAAATGGGGGGACGCAAAGAAAAGAGAGTAAAAAGAGACCGAGCAAAAGAGTTTTTCTTTGCTTTTAAAAAATCCCTTAGTGAAATAAATGGCAAGTCCACAGTTGACTAGACATGTATGGCGCTGGATTTGCTTGTAATGGCAGCTTGAGCTTATTGACAGTCCCAGCCAAAACATGTCAAAGGTTAAGAGATCTTGCCAACTGCAAGTGGGAAGCCAAAAGGGCCCTTTTCAGGAGCTCAATGGGACCATTGGTTAGAACTTGCTCTGCAGAACAAGGCGAAGAGGTGCTCAGTGCTAACAAAGAGTTAATCTGGGGTCATTGTTTTTCCTCATTGTGACACAGTTTGGTACAATTAAAGAATACTTTCATTTTTAAATGTTCAGTTCCCAGCTATTTAGACTTGAATATGTTTTTTTTTATTATCACAAATCATTTTAAAATGTCAATACATGTAATAAGAGAGGACTTGACATCCATCCTGAGATTTTTCTTGCTAATTTATACATTTATCTCCATTGTTATCATTAAATTTCCATTCAGCTACAAACTATTAAGAATTAAGAATGGGAGTGATACTTTTAGAGGGAATTTCTTCTGTTCCATAAGATTATATGATTATATAACCTCTCAGCTAACCTTAGACTTGTTTCAAATTTCTTTCTCTGAACACAATGATGGGACTTTTCAAAGGCTGGAGGGTAGCATACATGGCTCTGACAGGTTTCCACTGATCTGTAGGCTATATGATCCCAGGTGTGTATACAATCTACAAAAAAAAAACAGGAAAAAACTTCTTGTAAGATCAAAACTGGCACGTCCGCTGACACTGGGATTCTTGCAGTGACAAACTCCATCACATCCGCGACCTCAAACTAGCAAGTGGTGGCAATTACTGCTGGCTCCACTTTCAGGCTCCAGCGGTTTTCATTGGCCTGGACTAATCCCCCATAAACCCTTGCAGCGCCACAATCGCCAGCAGAGCCTCGGTTAATTGCTTACGAGTCCCTTGCACGCTCCAGGTGCCACCAGAGTTCCAGCCGGTGTTTGCGAGCACAGCTCGTAAAAAAAAAAGGGATGCAGCCTTCAAAGTGTCCCCGGCTTCCTCGGAGGATCACAGGCAGCGCAGGAATGATGGGGGCGCAGCTGTGCTGATACCTGGACGGATGAAAACGAGGCATTCCTGCAGCTGTGTGCGAGCGGGGAGGGGCTTCATTTACACGCTCCTGTCGGAGAAGAAAGATGCTCGGCAGGAGTTCCTGTTTGTTTACTTTAGCCTTCCTTTCTTCCCCCTCTTTGTACATCTTTGTGTGGGTAGTACCTAAAGTGGATGATCTCACTTGGTAAGCATGACAAGTGATGAGCTGGAAAAAAAAAGTTTGAGACAGTTCTGTGCCCTAAAGTGATGGGAGCAGCAGATGCATGTGTGTTTTTCTTTCTTTTACTCTCTGCCTCCTATTCATGTGTTGCCTTTTAAAACGGCAACATGGCCTGATGATATTAGCAGCCATCCCAAAGAGGAGAGGTACAATAGTCCATTTTAAATTAGCCCTATAATGCGTAATGTATCATATTCGATACATATGGTCTCTGAAGTCTTTTGGATCTGAGACTTTTTGCATCATTCAGTGGTAAAAGCTTTGCTCAAACCCCTGTTGTACACATTCAGATATACCTGATAAAAGCCAGAAGAAGACTTCACGAAAACACATTTTTGACTTATTGCACGCTAATTTGATCAAAATAATTTCAGTTTTTTTTTCTTCATATGTTGTTGAGGGGCCAAATGAAAGACTTCAGACTAAAAAAATCCAATATTCTTCCTATTTTTCTTGGATCGGGCTTTAAAGGCTTAGGTAGATTCTGTTAGACCATGTCATCAACCATGCTTCACAAACAGGCTTTTAGGAAAAATAACGGATATACCCTCACAGACCTTCATGGCTCTCGGTGAAGAGTTTCCCACCAATCATGTAGGTGCCACTGGGGGTACCGGTGAAAAAGAACCTTCATCTCCAGCAATTAGCTCCCATTCAGGACCTTGCAGTGTGCCTGCAGGTCATCTCCAAAACACGGAGCTGATGAAGACTGTGGGTTAGCCTTCGTTTTTCTATGGAGACAAAAAGCAGATCGGGAGCGTGTCACATGGGGCTTGTTTGCAATCAGCGCCCTGAGGAAACAATTATCTTTTTTGGCTTGCCAACTTTTTCGTGAGGTTAAGTGGGTTGGAGAGGCCACTTAGGTGGCTGCGCGTATCCGTAAACAACGCTGGGCATCGTCCAGACAGAGTAGCACATCTGGAGTCGGGGCACTGTTATGGAGGCATGGCGCGGGACTAATTGCAAAACTATTTCAAAGCTAATTTTAGCTGATATGCTCACGGTTTCGTCTGTCTGAAGTGCTCAAACCTGAGAGCCAACCCCTCAAAGAAAGCTCTTGTCTAGCCTATTGTTTGTGTATGAGTATGTGACTTTTTTCCTCTTTTGTCTTGTGCCGGTACCATAATCGCTAATGATAGAGTGGCTTTTTCTGGTAAAAACCGACAAGGCTTGATGTCTCTAACCCAGACTCTTGTCCCTCTCTTTTATTTTCCAGGCTTGATGGAAATCCGATCTGTCAGCGTGGGAGTTGTTGCCATCAAATCTGTCAGCAACGGGCTGTATTTAGCAATGTCCAAGAAAGGCACGCTCTTCGGATCGGTACGTACGCAGCCTGGCAACGTCGTCTCTGGGGGTTTTCGAGGGTCTGAGAGCTGGGAGGGAGATGGGGGGGAGTCGGGGAGGGCCGGAGAAGCACGTACCTGAAGTAAATCGGGGAAAAAAAACTCTGTTTCCGTCAACCATGGCCGTGCACCTGGGCAGCGTGCGATGGCACGCTTCTCCGTCAAAATAGAGGGTTTAAAGAAAACCCAACTAGCAACGACAAAGACACAGCTGGGCTCAGTTAAGCGCTCGCATGCTGTCCGCCAGTGGGTGTTTTTCAAAAGAAATCACCTGCCTTTGTTCAAACGAGACACACATCAGACCCGAGGTGTGGTGTCTAGCTCAAGCACTTACATCGTGGACGGAGATAAATCAGAGACAAGTAGCCATTCAGTCCGCCGCGATAAGAGAAGAGCTTTCAACACAGAAACAGAGACATAAATAGACAATAGGATCAAGGACTTCACCAAACTCACAGCAGGCTCAGACTATTGTGGCAGGAGGGGGGCCTCGTCATGCCACCGTGATAATGATCTAGAAGGTCCCACATCTTTCAAGAGTCTTCGGCCGAGTGATAAGAGGCAGTAAGTGCCCATATAAAAAGTGACTTTGTTGTGGGCCGAATGTTGAATTAAAAGAACATCCTTCCAAAAACAACCCATGAGATGCGGCGGATACTGTCATCTTTGCCAGAGATCAAACGCTTCTCCCCATGCAAACTTGACTTTCAGGCCTTTTTCTCAAATAACCAGAACGCTCCTGTTTCAGTCCACTGGCAGAGACCATGTTGGGTTCAGAGATGCATTTCAAACCAAAGCCCCTCGGCCCGGTTAAACGCGAGCAGAGGTCTGTCCAGCTCACTGTATCAACTGCAGACACCTGGAAAATTCGTCAAGGCAAACAAAACCCATAAACCTCTGTGCGCTTGGTGGAAGCGGGGTCCTTTTTAAAGCACAGCAGGAAAAGCAGTCAGCTCCCAGTCGTCTTTCTTCAGCCGCCCGTAACGTGTCTCCCTCCCTCTGGTCGCAGGTGAAGTACAACCCGAGCTGCAGGTTCAAGGAGCGCATCGAGGAGAACGGCTACAACACCTACGCCTCCCTGCGCTGGAAGCACGGCGGCAGGCAGATGTTCGTGTCGCTGAACGGCCGCGGGAAGCCCCGGCGGGGTCACAAGGCCCGCCGGAGGCACCCGTCCACTCACTTCCTGCCCATGCTCCCGTCCTAGGCGCCCGGGGCCTGAACTCTGACCGGCAGCTGGACAGCTCCCCCGCTGCCTCACGCTAGTCCTGAGCTAGCCGTGACAGCGATCTTTCAGTTTCTTGTTTCCTCACCCACTTGTCACATAAAAAAAATGTACATTTCCTGAGGTTTGTAACATTTGTAGTTAGTATAATATGTACTTTTAAGTTATTTTCTGCATTTTTCTAATGATGTTAATATAAAACATTGCAGTCCAATAGAGTAAAACTATATAATCATCTGCATCTGTCAGGTTACACAATCCTCCTGTGTGTACTTTGTATGTAAGGCAGAAGACAAAATGACAAGCAACTTTTAAATAGTTGCAAATTTAAAGTAAATCTGCGACAACAAACAGCAGACGTTCAGCTATAAATTTAAGATTAATAAGAGTTTTTTCTGTTTTCTTTCAAATTGCATGTCTACCCCAACAAATCTTTAAATACTGGATTCACAAATAGGAAATAACTATGTCTGGATACCAAATATAAATTGATGCACTTCATGCGTGTTTGGAGAATTGACCATAACAGACAGATATAAGCATAATTTCAATCTTTGTTACCTCCATTTGGTTTTTGTGAAGAACAATAAATTGTTGGTCATGAAGGGAACAAACTCCAATTAACACCCGCCGACAGTTTTTTTCCTTTTTTTGTGGAATGAAGTGACACTACTGGACAAAACATGCATATTTCCCTATTTGTGTCCACACCAGTGTGATGAAATCATTTCTGAACTTGAAAGTCTAATTTACAAACTCTTCTGTCTGAATAAGTTGGAAAAAAAACTAAGATAATTACAGGGATACCCAGCTGATTTTTCCGATTGGCCTTTAGTATATTTCTGCATGTTTCTGTCGATCCACACAAACCCGACGGTTAGGTTAGAAAACGGTGCCTGTAATTTCACATTGTGCAGCCTCAGACACTTAGTCTTTAGAGCAGTTGGGGAAAAAAAGGTATTTCCATTTCAAGTCATGCACTGAACGTTAGCAGCTCCATTAATTTCGTACTTGGTAGTAAAGGGTTTAATATGAACAACATCCCTGTCAGCACTCTCTAACAGTAGACAACACACCTGTTGCTCATAGATCATTTAATATATTTAAAACGTTTTGTACTCTTTTAACTGTATGGATTTTATGTTTATTGTTATTGCGGACTTTTCTGTTGGACTGAGGGGAAAAACGTTGTATCTGAGGGTGTATTCAGCCCTTTTTTTGTGAGGTATTCGTACTGAATATTAGTGCATTTATAGTCATACACAATGTTGGCTGTTGGCCAGTAAAAGGTGGGTTTATGCTGTATAAAGTATGAGAACAAACAGTCCCGAGATCCGTTTCAGTTAAGTCATTTGAGTGCCTTGGTCCATGCTGAGTTTGGTAAACCTCAATAAAATGTGGATAATTCATGAATCATGGCTCACTTATTTATTTTATACAGAACGTGGCACTAAATGTCAGGTCACATCTCCATCAGAGGTTTTTGGACGTAATCATGACTAAACTCCCAGCAGGGGAGGTGAGGATGCAGAGGACCTCCTGTTTGCTGAAAGGTCTGCAGATATGACCTGTGCAACGGAGCGCTGAGATCATTTACACACAGATGAGCCCTCCAGTGGCACAGGAGGCCACTCTTCCCTTTCAGCACACAGAGAGGAGAGAGGAGGATGAATAGTGGCAGAAAGTCAGACTGCTAGCATGCACATTTTTCTTTTCTCAGCTTTTCTTCTTGTACTTCAGAGTCCCCGCTTATAAATACAGTCATTAAAGCATTAGCTGAGAGGCAGAGGAGAAGATCAACACTCCTGAAGACAGTTTAGCTGGACACTGGACACTGGACATTAAACCCTGTAATGCCAAATGTTTCATATTTGATACACACGGTTTCTGAAATGTTTTGCGTCTGACACCTTTTGCATAATTTAATGATAAAAACTTTGCTCAAAATCCAATTTAAAACTATCAGATACACCTGATAACAGGGGGCAGAAGACTACACAAAAAATAATCTTGACTTATCGCATAGTAATACATTAGTAATATAAAAATGTTATTTTTGTTTTTTCTTTTTACATATTTAGTTAAAAGGCCAAATAAGGAATTCAAACAAAGAAAAAGTAATTTTCTGTTTGTTTTATTCTTGGATCAGGCTTTAAAGGGTTAAAGTCGATAGGCACAAATATTCCTAAAGTAAATTATTTTGTGACTTTGGTCATGCTCCTTTTACCAAATGAATTAAACTGTGCTCAAACTCTGCATTAAGCTGAGGAAACTGTTATTTCTAGAAAAGTTCATTAGTGATTATACCATTTCCTTAGAATCAACCTTAGAATTTGACATGCTTCTCATCTAATACTAACCATAAACAGACAACTTGTTTTCTCCAAATACAGTGACAAATGACAGAAAGCTCATTAGTATTGAAAACTTTATTTGGCCCGTGCAAATGCAAAAAGAAACCCTGCAAACAGCAGAGAACAAATGGGACACATAATCCTGATGCAAGTAAGAAATTGACAGATTTCTAACTGGTGATAGGAAGCGTTGCATGCAGAGGTGGTTGAAAGTCACCAAATAAATAGAAACTCTTTCAGGTTTGCTACAAATTTTCAATGCATACCTGATGTGGCTTTACTTAACTAAAGAAAAAAGCTAAGGTACCTCAGAATAGAAACAAAATGATAAGGTTTTGGTCATAATAAATTCTGTTCACATGAGCGAGCAACTGTTTCTGCTTATGGAGAAGAAACATGGCCTGCAGAGAATGTAAAGCTGAGGTCATTCTGTGCAGAATTTTAGGAAATTGAGTTTATGCACCATATTGTAAAGATCCAGTTAGCCCTGAGGCCGTCTTTTGTATGTAAGGATCCTACAGACTAACCCACAGGATGGTGTTTTTGTGCCCCGACTGAAACAATGCGCTCTTAAATCATGTCTAAGTTCATATCGAGTCTTCAACAACCACACGGTAGGTCACAAAGCCCTCACTCCATTTCACTGTATGTGTTAAAAGTGTGATTCCAGTGTATGAATCTGAGTGGTTTCATTTTTTTTTTCACGGGATCCGTGTGAGTTCAGTCACAAAATGGTGTCCCGGCTCAAAATGCGACCCAGCGTGGTGCACCTACACCTTCCCTATACTTCCCCAGAAGGTTTTCCTTCTGCACTTCCACCTCTGTTTATTACAGCCGTGTCTTCTGATGACACAGCGTTCTCATTAGACGAGGGTCCGGCTCATAAAGGCGGTTTCCTCTGCAGTTCAGCCTTTAGGGGGCTTTTGGGCGTACGATAACCACGTGACCCTTGGCTGGCACAGACACACTAAAACGTGCACACCACAAAGTAATCTGATTTTCTGCCTGTTCTCTCGATTGACTCGCCTCTTTGTCAGCGTTCTCCATTTCTTCTAGTCTACCTCTTCTCTTTCCTCTTTTGAGCATCCGAGAATCTCTCCTTTCTCATTGTTCCGAGGGTGCAACCGGCTTTTGGTGCCAGGTCCAGGGACAGAGAGAATGGGAGCGGTAATTATCGTTGCTCCACCAACTGTTCTGTCGGTGTGCTCGCCAGTGAAGAGGGATCCTTTGGAAGACCCCGTCAAAAGCTTTGGCCTTTGATCGCGAAGCGAAAAGGAAAAAACCCAAAAGACCTTGAAAAATCAACGAGGAATGTCCCAGAAAAAGGTGGACGTACCGGGAACTGGCTCTCTGTGGTGACACGTGCACGTCACCAGCACAGGTGTCAGGTCCAGGGTTTAGTCACGCACCTGGTAAGCTGCACAGCGTCCTTTCCAAACCAACAGGTTTCTGCCCTCAAACCGGGATTAAATTTAAGCAGAACCAATAAAGAAAATCAGTCGCCCACATTCGCTGAAACTGCACGAGGCGGTAACTTTGCGTGCTTCGACGATAAATTGCAGCTGAGTGACAAAAAAAAGTAATAATCAAAGTCCATTTGGAGGGCCCGGGCCAAAATCTACAGGGGCACAAGTCATGCTGCTTCAGCGACAACAAACCACAGCCTCTGGAACCTTTGAAACCCTGTGTGGTCATTTTCTCTCACAGCGGCTGAAAGGAACTGTGGTGGGTGGGAAAGAAAAAAAAAAAAGCCCCCTCACCACTCATAATACCAATCTTATGTATGTAGACAAAAATGGAAGGGACGGGAGGGGTTGCGGGGTGGCAGACGGACTAAGGCACAATTTTAAAGCGCTTATTGAATTGCCATTACAGCTTCTGAGACTAATTGTGGCTGTTGTGTGTCTCTCGGTGGCCTAGGGGGCTCTGGAGTGGCCCTGTATGCTCTTACTCAGTGGGGTTTTCAAACCGAGTGGCCCCGAAAGAGAACAGGACCACCGTAGATCAATGGCAAACCTTTCACTCTTTCACAAGGCCCCTGCTAATCCTCCTCATTTGTCTGCCATTTGTTGAGGCACATTCACAGCTCCCTGAATTTAGGATTAGGGCTTGTTTTGTTACAAAAACAGCCCGAGTTATAATGTTGAATAGATGGACTGAAGGGTGGACGGTGGCTGAGTGTGGATGTGAGTTTTTGGAGCATGTGTTGCGGTGTGTATGGTTATTAAGTATTCTCCATGTTTCTTATCAAATACGGGAGAATTTATAGCCTGCTCAGCTCGAGAGTGTGAGTAAGTGTGGAAGAGGCCCTGATCTGAACAGCTGCACGGGGGCTGACTGCTGGATTTATATTCATGCGTTTTGCTCCAAAACATTTAGCTCAAGTGATGATTTGAATTGTAAATTACAAGTCTTCTGGACACAGCTGAATGCTGTTTTCACACATAACATGAGATGCATTTCAGAGGTGGAGAAAAGCAAAAGAAGAAAAAAAAAAGGGGGAAAAAAATGTGAATGGACTCTCACTCTGACTGTTCACACATCTTGTAAATGACTCAACTGGGAATGCTCAGTGATTCCTCCTCGATTGTGCTTTGAAAACAATCTAGAAAAGGACCAAATGGATGGAAATTAAAGGGGAAGGACAGAGAAAGCTAGATACAATTCTCTCCACATATCTACAGTCTGCATGTTTCAAGCTAATCAGGGACTGTGTAGCTCATCATTACAGAAGTTACCATGCTTTTAATTCATAAATATTAGATCAACTTATCATCAATGACGCATTAGGTCTGCAATCAAATCTCAGATGAATTAGATCTAAGTTTTTCTTTTAACTTGAAAGCAGAAGCTTCACTTATTCAGTCATTAGTTCAAAAGTTATATCATAATTACTAACATTCAATAATAACAAGTTATTGTTTTTTTTCTTGTTGTTATAGCAGTTGTTCATATTTTGTATTTAAAACTGAATTCCCTTGCACATCACGGGGTTTCTGGTCTCCTGGTGGTCTGACCTTGTTTATTCAAATGTTTTACTCCAGATCGGGATAAATGATTGAAAAACACCAAACTAAACTGAAACAGAACCGACATTCCTCATGCTGTGATGCTCAGACATAGTATTTTCCCGGCCAAATGCATTTTCCATGACAGTGCGGGAAAAGAAAGACATGAACTAATTGATTCAGCACACAAACACCTGCAAAGGAAATTTAGTTTTTGAAAAAAAAACAACTCTGTTTGTAGTTTGAAGACGTTTTCTCTCCATTGTGCTCGGGCCTTGAGTGGCTCTTGGTCGGTCTTGGCAGGCTGCTGGCGGGCGGTCAGACGGAGGGCTTCTCATCGCTGAATGGATTAGTGTTCATGTCTGAAGCCACTTAGGGGAGTTTAGACGGGGCCGCTGAGTGGCACCTGCGCCACAATTCCCCCCCCCCCCCCCCCCAGACCCCCCGGGCCCCACCCTGCGGGTTGTGACCCCGATGGGCCGAACCCCACAGGGGGGACTCCCCGGGGGCCACCACCCCCCCCGGCGGGTGGGGGGGGGGGGGGCACGAGCGCCGAGCTCCTTCCAAAAGATACATGAAAGCATTACTATGAGCTTTTTCCATTTATATGACAAGAGTGATACCACACCACAACAAAAAATAGCTAACTTTGTTATTGGGCCTTTCTTTCACATAGTGAGCTTTGCAATATAAATGAG